CAGTACGAGGTGTGTCTGAAGGGGGGCTCTGGGACCAGCGAGTTCAAGTTTCTGAAGCCAATTGTGACCAACTTTCAGGGCCATTCCCCTGGCCCAGATATAGAAGAAACCCCCAACTTTAGGAAAGATTTTGGTTTCAGTATTCAGTGACAGCAATTGTGTTTCACGTTCCATATATTTTAAATTGATGATACTTCAAGGTGATGGTTTTTCTGGCAACCTATCATGAACTTTTAAACTACACTAAACTTGCTTGCAAATTTTGTTTTAAAGAAAGCTATCTTTTCTTCATTACTGTAAGAAGATTAATGGTCCTAAATCTTGCCTCTCAAAACACTGTTGAAGTCAATAAATGTACAGGTTCTTTCTGGCATAGCTTAGAAATGTGTTATGAAAAAAAACAGTGGGAAATTAATTCTATATAATCAGTTATATTTCCTTGAGTTTTTCTTATTAGTTTTTAAACCATTAAGTACATAAGAGCAGTGCTGCACTAACACACTGAAGCATGCCCAATCAGGAAGGAGAGAGAACTGGTACAGTGAGAATTTGGCTCTTACTTTATTCTGCTCTTATAGCACTTTATTCTTATTTTCTCTTATTAATTGTATATTCATTAATATACCAGTGTTAGTTTTAATATAGTTATTGTAATTGCTTTCCAGTTAGTTTCCCTGGTGTAAAAGGGGAGAAAAAGCTACACTGTGTTTATCCAGTGTGATGAAAGGGCATAGTAGGAAATTGGCTTTTCCCACTTGAGAAACATTGGTCATATTGTGACAGAAAATGCAGTAGCTATCCAATCTCCATTCATCTTTTCTTCTTTGGTAACACACTCCAAATTTCATTTAGAGCATTAGTGTGCTTAGTCAAAAGAACGTTTTCCCAGGCTCCTTGGCAGCTAAAACGGGACATTTGACTACATGTATATGCAAATGTTGTTAGAGACTTCCAAGAAGGCCATTAAAAGGGAGGTGACTCATCTAGGAAGGGGTCCCTTTTTGTCCTTCTCTACCTGCTTCTTGCTGCTTGGAATGTGGGAGTCTTGGTTGGAACACAATCAGTCATATTGAGCCATAAAGCAACACTAAGGATGGAAATAATGGACCAAGACAATCAGTATAGAATAAACTGATTGATGAGGACCCCTGATAATCACAGTTACCATGTCATCCCTGGATTGCTCACTTCTGAGCTTTTTTTACATAAGAAATAAAGGAACTTCTATCTCATTTAAGCCACCATCATTTTAGTTTTGTGCTACCTCCAGTGGAATCCAATCCTACTGCTTTCACAGTAAGACTTTTTGTTAAAATGTTATATAATACGGTAAAATGGACAGATCTTAAGTGTGTAGTTTGATCTAATTGATCTTTGTCAAGTTTTCCTTGATTTCTAATTTACTTAAGAGTACAGAGTGCTTTACATTCATTATCTTTTTAATCCTCTGCCAAACCCTAAGGAAGTTGGCATGTTATTTCCTCTTTTACTTGTTCACAATTCTGAAGTAATAAAAGGAAAAATTTGGAATATATTCTAAGTCTACTTGAATGGAATGTTCCAGTTCTTAACCAGTACGCTATCACAGCAGGCATTAACTGGTGGCATTGTCTTCCTAACCAAGGAAGTGAAATCCTTCTATTGCATGAATTGAACTCCTATATAGAAATGTAACTTTTAGTCTGTAGCTTGATTTTGTTTCTGTACCAGAGATCACACTGCTCTGGACCAATAAACCCAAAGTTCTTACAGAAGCACTGACCTAAGTAAGCTGGGTCAGGTACCACAATTGACCTTCATCATGATCTTATCAGCCTGATTACCTTCCTGTACCTTCTCAACATATCACATTCATAATTGCAGAAATGAAGGCCTTAAACAGGGAGTAGAATTACCCTATGGTTGTATTTCTTGAGTTTTTTTGTACTATTCCTTCAGTCTTTTTCTGTCAGTCCTAATATATATTTTCTCTTTTTTTTTTGAAAGTTTATTATATACATTCTGTAAGTCCCTTGTTCAAATTAAATATACTGTATTCATTTTAGCGCACTATTTCTTTGAAAGCAGTTGCTATTCTAGTATTAGCTCTAAATGAAATAACTAATTTCAGAAAAGTATAGGCAATGATGTGGAGGAATTTTTATCACTAAATAATTTAGAGATTCTGGAAATTAAATAGAAATAAAGATGATAGGCTCCAGTTATTTTCTATTAAAACTAACCATATGTCTTTGACAACGCCTCTTAAAAATTATGCTGAAAAAAGATTTAGAGGGTCATAAATGACTTTATTCTGAAAGGATGGCTCACAAGAGCCGAATCAGACATTCTTCAGCATTTGCTGTGATAATCCAATTTTGTAGAGTGATGAATTTTTGTTGACTCAGATGCTGGGTGCATGAAATTTCATGCTTATGTATTCATTTTCTATTTCTACTATTAAAAATTATCACAAACTTGGTTGCTTAAAACAATAAAAATGCACTACTATATAGTTCTGTAGATCTGATGTCTGATATGGGTATGACTGGGTTAAATTCAAGATGTCACCAGGGGTGCGTTCTCTTCTGGTGGCTCTAGAGGAGAATCTGTTTCTTTCTCTTCTTCAGCTTCTAGATGCTGCCTACAGTACTTGACTCATGGCCCCTTTCATCCATCTTCAAAGGCAGCAACATTGTTTCTCTTAGTCCACTTCTTCTGTAATCACAGAGGGGTGTAATCACCCCTCTGACCATAGCCAGGAAAGGTTCTGTCCCTCCCAGATAATCCAGGATAACCTACCCCCGACAAGGTCCTCAATTTACTTATATCTGTGAATTCTCTTTTGCCATGTAAGATAACATATTTACAGATTTGGGGAATTAGGGCATGAACATCTTTCGGTGGGTGGCCATTATTCTGCCTACCGCAGGTAGCTTGGAAGAAAATTATCTGGTCTAGCAGGACGACCTGTGGCCAAAGGAAGGCATACAAAGACCTTTATAACAGAAGTTTAGACCCCATTGATTGAATGCTTTAACCCCAGACAAGGTATTTATCAAAAATTGTTCTACAGATTGTTAACAAAAACACTGGATTTATAAAAACATTATGAATCTTTACTGAAATTCAATTTAAATTTTAAAAATGGAAAATCTGAACTAAAGAGTATTTTGGGGTTTTTTTAGATGATGAAAATGTTCTAAAATTGACTGTGGTGATGGATGCACTACTCTGTGAATATACTAAAAGTCACTGAATTGTAGACTTTAAACGAGTGAATTGTATGGTATGTGAATTGCATCTCATTAAACCTGTCTTTTAAAAGGAATAAAACAAATTATTCTTGTCATGATAAAAAAAAATCCCAAAACATGGCAGGCCTAACCCTTAGACTGCCTTTTTGGGAAATAACTTTCCAATAATTTGAAAGTTTCAAAAACACATGTCCTCAGGCTTAGGTGTTGGAAAGAAGAGGAAGTAATCTACTCTTTAATAAGGCGTTGATAAAATACTCTCTTTAGAACCATCACTGATTGCAATTTTGCAGTGTCCACTCATCTGTAATTCTATAACATGTACCATGAAAATAATGTACTTGTGAAACTGTTCCCATATTATTTCAGAAATATTTTGCTTCTAAATTTATATTCTTCTCAGCTTAAATGTTAATTAAATTATTTTATTTAATTATTCACCCTGAACAGCTTTAAACAGTCAACATAATGAAAGTTTGCTCTTAGTACTCTTCCTGTGTAACAACACAGCTCTCTCTGAACTCATAAAAACTACAAGAAAATAGAACTAAGTGTTTCATATTACAGAACACGGTTGACACAGCCTATGTGTTACATTTAGGAGAATTTTGCATCCAACGTTAAACCAGAAAAGATAAGACATAGTAAGAACGCATGGTGGCGCTGCAGGTTAAGGTGGTGAGAAACAGAATTGCAGACGTAGCTCCAGGATCCAGCCAGTTTCACACTGCCTGGAAGCTGAAGAACAGCTTTCTCAGTCAGAGCACAATGTGCGTGAAACCTCTTTAAAACTGTATTTAGAGACATAGTTCTGACCTGCTATACTGCAGGACCGGACTACCAGGATCCTGGGCATATATGAAGCTCCTGTGAACTCAGTTTTCAGGAAAGAGCAATGGAGATTGGATGGATGCACAATCCGAGACAAAGGCAAGTCCTAGTTTTCTTTGTTTTGCTGAGCATGTATGGGGCGAGCGCAGAGTTGGGGCCCTATTCAGTAGTGGAAGAAACAGAAAGAGGCTCCTTTGTGGCAAATGTAGGAAAAGACCTGGGGCTGGGGTTGACAGAGATGTCCACCCGCGGTGCCCGGATCATTTCCCAGTGGAACAAAGAGCATTTGCAGCTCAAGGTTCAGACTGGGGATTTGCTCATAAATGACAAACTAGATCGAGAGAAGCTATGCGGTCCGAGTGAGCCTTGCATACTATATTTCCAAGTATTAATGGAAAAACCGTTAGAGATATTTCAGGCAGAACTGAGAGTGAAAGACATAAATGACCATTCCCCTGTGTTCACTGAAAGAGAAATGTTTCTAAAAATACCGGAAAACAGTCCTATAGGAATTTCATTCCCTCTGAGTAATGCTCTGGACTTGGATGTAGGCAGCAACAATGTTCAGAACTATAAAATCAGCCCCAACTCCCATTTCCGGGTTCTAACCCAAAATCGCAGCGATGGCAGAAAATACCCTGAGCTGGTGTTGGACAAAGAGCTGGATCGGGAGGAGGAGCCTGAAATCTCATTAACCCTGACAGCGCTGGATGGCGGCTCTCCGCCTCGGTATGGAACCGCCCAGGTGCGCATTGAAGTGGTGGACACTAACGATAACGCCCCTGAGTTTGAGCAGTCCCTCTACAAGGTGCATATTCCCGAAGACAGCCCCGTAGGCTCCCTGGTTGTCACTGTCTCTGCCAGCGATGTAGACAGTGGAGTCTATGGAAAAATATCATACGCATTCTTTCAGCCTTCAGAAGATATTAGTAAAACTTTGGAGGTAAATCCTATGACAGGTGAAATTCGACTGAGAAAAAAAGTTGATTTTGAAACAGTTCTGTCTTATGAAGTGGACATCAAGGCCACTGATGGGGGAGGTCTTTCAGGAAAATGCACTCTTCTCCTGCAAGTAGTGGATGTGAATGACAATCCTCCAGAAGTGACAGTGTCTGCACTCACCACTCCCATCCCAGAGAACTCCCCTGACATTGTAGTTGCTGTTTTCAGTGTTTCAGATCCTGACTCTGGGGACAATGGGAAAACTATTTCCTCCATCCAGGATGACCTTCCTTTTCTTCTAAAACCTTCAGTCAAGAACTTTTACACCTTAGTAACCCAGAAAACACTAGATAGAGAAGAAAGAGCCGAGTACAACATCACCATCACCGTCACAGATATGGGAACCCC